CCTCTTTCTTAATGATCATTATCTGGTATTTAAGCCCCAATCATAGTGTTCTGGATGCACGACACTGACAAATACTAGTTGTTTCACTGACTGCGCCGCCGCTACCATGCTCTCATATGAGAAGCCCGAGGCTGATGTCCTCTCCCGCCCACCCCGCAACGCCAAGAAGGACCGCCTCGTCAACTGGCAGCTCATCCTCCAGTCCTACGGTGTGATTGGTGTAATACAGACCACTCTCTCTTTCACCATGTCGTTCTGGTACCTCCAGCGCAATGGGATCCCCTTTTACAAGCTGTGGTTCGGCTACGGACCTCCCCCGGATATTGACCTAGACTACTATCAGCAGAAGGTCAACGAGGCATCGTCCATTTACTTCGTCAACCTTGTTGTTATGCAGTGGTTCAACCTCATGGCCACCCGCACACGCCGCCTCAGCATCTTCCAGCACCCTCCCTTGTTCAATAAGCAGACCCAGAACTGGTACCTGTTCCCTGCCATCTTGTTTTCACTGGCCATGGCCATCCTGTGGCTGTACATTCCCCAGCTTCAGCCTGTCTTGGGTACCACTGGCGTCCCTGTTGAGCACTGGTTCCTTCCTTTTGCTTTCGGTCTCTTTACATTGATGTTGGACGAAGCAAGGAAGTTTGCCATTCAAAAGTGGCCTCAAGGTTGGCTCGCAAAGGCTGCGTGGTAGTTGAATTCAATGCTTTTGAAGATTAGTTAGAAGATAGATCTTTGAGGATTCTGAGTAGCGAGAAGGTTTTTTTTTTTTCTATTTATATAGTGTTCTTTCAATTAATAAATTGCCGTGAGAGTCATCTAAAACAATCAAGTCCACCATTCCTTAGAACATCAAGGCTTTGTCATAAAGGAAGTAGATTATATCAAGGGGGTGTTTCACAGAGATTTTACCCTCATTCCTGACCCATGTTCTATTCAAGGGGCAGTGCAAGCTTCGAGATCGTTGGATCTGAGCACTGGCCAAGCCTACTCATTTCTCAACAATTTCTGGTATACATACGAGAATCTATTTTCAGATGGCAACGACAAACACAGAATAAAGCTACAGTACAATAAAGTCTCCTAAGAACGCCCTATCTTTGCATTCTAATCAAAAATGATACGAGCCCCCTTAGAGCCAAAACGTCCTATGGGAATGATATAATCGTGGAGGGAACCAATATCAGTCTCATCAGTCTCGTATAGTCTGAACTTGGGGCCGCCAGGACGGAAGAGGACGGCCAATACCAAGCTGATTTCAGCATACGCCAAGCTAATAAGTTGCAAAAGTTAACACCTGTCATCATATCTTTTTATTCAGGGCTACTTGCCTCATTGCAGGGCATGAACGAGATCCTCGTGTGAACGGGACGAAGTTACGTTTCATTTCGGGGGTGACATTATCCAGCCATCTGTCAGGGTCAAATTTGAAAGGCTCGGGGTAGATTTCGGGGTCAGTATGCATGTAGTAGGCGTTCATTCCGACAGGAACCTGTAAATAATTAGCTATGACAATTGAACCAAGGTAGTTTCGTCTATCTTACTCCGGGTGGGATAGTCCAATCCTTGTACTGAAGTGGCTCATGGGGCGAGATACGAGAGAGTCTGTGGAGAGATCCGTAGCTTACGCTGTTGATTCTGTTAGTTCTTCTGTTTGAACTTCAGCAAGCATGAACATCTACGCACCGTAGACCTTCCTTAATGACCGCTTGCAAATAGGTGAGCTTCTCAAGATCCTGAAAGGTAGGTGCCGTCTCTGGCCAGTCGACAACGAAGTCCTTGATCTCTTCCTGAACACGGGCACAGATCTCAGGGCACTTGAGAAGGTAGTATATGCAAACAGTTGCAGTTCGGGCGGTCGTGACACTGCCGGCACCGAGAAGACTCTGCGCCTCGTTGGCCAGTCGGTGGGTGTCCTTGTCTTCCTCGGAAAGGTCGCTCTTGTGTATCAAGTACCGGAAAAGGGTGGGCTTAGAGCCAATCTTGGCTCCGTCGAGATCGATCTTGCTAGGATCCTCTTTCTTGGTATCTTCGATGTGCTTCGTGGCCATCTAGAAGGCGTTAGCACACACTTTTAAAAGGGGAGCGCGAATGTTTACCTCTCGGTAGGTGTTGAAGGCTTGAGTGTGAGGAGCAATCCAGACGAGGGCCTTTTCGGGAATGAATTTCAGGAAGCTGCTGATGATTAGCAAATAATTGATAGAATAACCAAGGGCTGGATTGGAGACTGACTGAATAACCCAAGGGAAGACAACAAAGACCGGGATACAGAGTGCGATGGAGTGCATGAGGTCGTGCCTAGATGGAACTGGTTAGCCCTTCTACATCCAATGTGCCTTGCCGACCGTAATCTTACCACCCGGGCGAAAACTCTTCGTCGTCAAGGTAGTCTTCTCCGTCGCCAATACAGACGCGGCGAATGATATCGCCGGTCAGAGCTTGCATGGCGTGGTCCACACGGGAGATTTTTCCTGTGCCTTCGAAGCTATCATATCTATCAGAAAGCTTTTGAACGCATTCACTCATGATGGGCTCAAGTTTTGTTACTCCAGCACGCGAGAAGTATGGTTCAACAGGTCTACGCCTTTGTCGGTGCAGTTTATGGTCCTTTGTAGCAAAGAAAGTGTCTACTTGGTTAGTTTATTCCTGTCGATATATTGAAGTCAGGTACTTACTGCCCAAGTCGAGGCCCTGCACGAAGTAATTGAACTCCTCAGTCTGTCGAATGCCACCGGAGACGTACACGGTATCGTAGAACGAGCCATCATCTACCGAGAGCTCATAGGGGTTTACGCGAAGAATTGGACCTAAGGACGAGCTTTGGTTAGACAACTTGATTTGAGATTTGGTTCTTGATGATTGATGTATTATCGTACCGTAGATTTTGTGCAGCTTTTGGATCTGCTTGTAGTAAACTCCACCCTTGATGACATCGTAGTATGATTCATACAGACTTGTCGCGGCAGCAAGCTTTGGGCCGGGGAATTTTGCGAGTGGCGAAAGGTACAAGCGGTCTATAATGATGTAGACACGCCTGATCACAAGGATTGCGACAACGGTCAAGATGATCTTCCACCTCAACTCCCTCGCGTCCGTCTCAAGCCAGAAGTCTGCAAGGGCACCCATTTTGAATTTGCAAAGGAAAGAAGGAATGCAGACGAAAGCTTATTCCATTCCCAAGGTCATGGAAGTAATGGCAAGAAGAGAATATTATTTTAAGCTAGAAAATTGACTCCTAAGTCGTACGTATGCATTGTATGCACGCACCAAGCCCACGGACCAAGGCCTGCCGTGCGCCGTCAGCATTGCCACAGCCTGATGACAAGCCAGCTCGGGACCGAGCAGGGATATTCCCTTCAATGTCGGCAGTTAGTACAAATAATTGCCGGGATGAGGAGGGTGCTGATCCTCTAGTAGCTATCGCTAGTGTTCATTGGCCCAATTCCGAGTTTGCCATGGGAGGAGACCAGGTTGGCAGATGTGAGACTCCTCCCACAATCTACAATCTAGATGCCTAGCGAGTTCTGTGGGATGCCAAACCTTGCAAAAACTAGTTTGGAAAAGAACGTGCCTATCAATCCTCAAGACTAGATCAATTTGAGTTATCACCAACACAAATAAGGGAAAGCAGGAACTATTCAATCAACCTTGCTGTTCTCCAGAGCAACTACCAGGCCCCTGGACAAAGTCGCCTATCTTTTCAGGGCACTCTACAGCGTACCAGATTGTGTGTGCACAATAGTTTTGGCCCTGCTACCTGTCAAGGATTAGTTATGGGTTGGTTCATCGTTCTGGTCGAAAGAAGTGTTTCTGGTGGTTTCGAATCCATCCGGTCTCACTTGTTGTTGTAATCAACAGGAAATAAAGCCGGAAAGGGAAAGTCGGATTAAAGATGAAAAAGAGCTTAATTACACTGTGTATTACTTTTTCATGTCCAGTCACTGGCCACGTGGCTGGGAAAATTCTAGTTAGATGAACAGGAACATGTGATAAGGTGGAGACCCCAACAAGTACATTGTCGTACGCTGTTCGCCAAGAAACTGCTCTTAAGGTCTAATAAAGGACACAATCTATCAATATTTCGCGTAAGATTAGGCACATAAACAGTCAAACATCCCTTTGTGTGCAAACACTAGATCCTGTATATGAACAGACTTGGCTTGGGCGATGAGAAAAACCATATGTCTATGCTAAGGATTTACGAGTAGCTATAGTGAATGAAAATTTGTGTCTCAACACACTGAATCTTGTTTGGGCCGCCACTTCTACTGGTAACCGATCATCATTGTAAGACGAATCCTTCGCAGCATGCTTCTGAGGTCTCAGGTTCCCATATTTCAGCGTTAACCGAACAGCATTAACCGAACAGCATTATTGTAAGACTTGATCCTTCGCGGGATAGTTCCGGCATTTCTTGGAACGGACCTTTGACGCAGACCGGAGAATGGATTTCAGACTTTTCACAGATCCCTGGCACGGCCATGCTCGTGCGTGGTCAATTATAGCTTCAACTCAAGTACGCGGCCCTGTACATCTCCCATGAGATGGGTAGCGCTCACATAATCCATTAGCGTGCGGCAAATGACATTTGCCAAGTGCCGGTCAGTGTGTTGCAACATGGATCAAACCCTGCTTATCTCGAGGTCGGCGACTATTCCTTGCTTCCGTCCTATCAAGACTTAGGTTGCGGACGACGTGTGAAACAGGGGACGTCGTCTCGGTTCAACCATTGCCCGCGTCTTCTGGATCTGGTTAGATAGTCGGAGTAGAACAGGTGCTGCTCCGTGCTGTATTCCTTCGTAGTTGTTGTCTTGGAAGAAATAAATCAGTCAGATTCTCTGAAATCACTCTTGGGCATCCAAACACCCATTTGTTTTGTTGGTTGTAGTTTGAACTCCCCTATTATTCCGTCCGTTCTTCTTTTTATACATATCGTACCATTCCCATAAGCTCATCTGCTCATCTTTTCTTTATCACAAACTCGAAAGCTTCAGTTCACAATGGAGTACAAATACTCGGAAATTATCGAGTATGATACACAGGGCCTATGTCTAGACATTCCTGTGCGCAAGCACTTGAACGCCAGCCTAGAGGACCGTGGATCTCGCGAAGCACGTGCGGATTGGGAGAAGTTTGTTGGCCCTCTCTCACAGAATGCGGGCGCGTACTGCGCGGGTCACAGCTTTGTGGCTATTTCTGTACCAGATTGCTTGCCAGATAGACTGGAAGTTATATCCTATGCAAATGAATTTGCTTTTCTACATGATGGTAATGGTTTATCTGCCCCCACATGAAGGAAGGCAGCCAAGCTAACAAAGAGTCAGATGTGACTGATGTTGCAGATCAAGATACAGTATGTTAGAACTTATCGAATCTTCACTCCTTGTCACAAAGCTAAAATTAGCAATAGGAAACCCAGGAGAACGACCACATGTTACAAGCACTGATGGAAGGTGTTCGACAAGGGTCTATTGAGGCTAGAGAGTCGGGTAAGCGCCAGATCCAAGCCAAGATCCTGATGACTATGATGGCTCTTGATCGCGACCGAGCCAAAGTAGCGACCACTGCTTGGGCCAAGTTCCTAGAGCAAGGGTCAGGAAGAGAAAACCATAATCATTTCTCAACCCTCGAGGAGTACCTGCCTTACAGATCCAAGGACTCCGGCCACATGTTTGTCCACTCCCTGTTTTCTACCCCGAATAACGAGTCCTAATGCTCTCAAAGGTTCTGGCACGCCATTAGTATATTTGGGTGTGGCCTTACTGTGCCTGATCATGAGATGGCCCTGGTTACGGAATATGTCATGCCTGCCTCTCTCGCATGCAGTCTCCAAAATGATCTTCTCTCATTCGGCAAGGAATATGAGGCTGCGTTAGAGGCTGGCCAGACCGAGATCTGCAATGCTCTATGGGTTCTCATGGGGGAACACAATTGCACGTTGAAGGAGGCAAAGGCCCTGTGCATCCAGCGTATCCATGAAGAGGTTAGAAAATACCTGCAGTATGCGGAGCGCGCCCGAGAGATGCATAATTTGAGTGCAGATGGCAAGAAGTACGTGGATATGATGCGATTTACGATCAGTGGAAACGCCGCATGGAGTCTCCGCTGTCCTCGTTACAACCGCCCACTTCAAGTCAAGATCAATGAAGATGAGCGCCTAACCCTCGATGGCATTCCAAAGAAACTCAAACGTGGCTCTTGTCTGATCGAACGTCGACGTCTGCTGACTCGGTTGCTTCCGACTTGTCTGATGCTGGCTATGTCACTGCGAATACAGACAGTGAATCAGATCATTCAGACGCCATGTCTCGTCGTACTATTGACGGTGTTGACAGACCAGAGACCCCCGCACAAGAGCCAAAGATTAATGGGATGAAGACAGATGATATTGAATCCGTCCTAGAGCCATTGATCTTTGAAGAGGACTCGGAAACAAGTAATTGGTCTTCCTTGGGCCCCGAAGAGGCGGCGTTGGCCATTTATCCTCAGATGAAGTCTGATGTAGGTCAATTATCGCTTGAATACTGTGGTTGGAACTAACATAGTCTCAGGTCGTTACTGAGCCATATCGCTACCTCAGCTCTCTTCCATCCAAGGGAGTTCGCGATATGACCATCAATGCACTCAACTTCTGGCTCAAGGTTCCCAATCATTCTATGGATTTGATCAAGTCAGCTGTCAGAATGTTGCACGGCTCTTCTCTCATGTCAGTCCCTTCATTTCTACCCATCACCAATCAATCTTCGCTAACACGCTCATCTAGGCTTGACGATATTGAAGACGGCTCTCGCCTCCGTCGCGGCAAGCCCTCAACGCACGAAATCTTTGGGCATGCACAAACCATCAATTCTGCAACCTACCAATACATCCACGCAACTCAAGAGATCAGGAAACTGAGGAACCCGCATTCTATTGATATTTTTATTAGTGTGTAGTTGAGTTGCTGAAGCCCATTTGCAATTACCCCCAACTAACGTGAACACACAGACGAGGTTCAGCAACTCTTCATTGGCCAGAGTTATGACCTTCTTTGGACATCTGAGCTGTCTTGCCCAACAGTCCCAGAATATCTGCAGATGATTGATGGCAGTAGGTTTTCTTCTTCTCTCGTGCCACTGATCGCTTCAGCTTGCTGACAAATATTTAGAAACTGGAGGCTTGTTCCGTCTTCTCACCAGACTTATGGTAGCTGAGTCTAAGTACTCAGGCGAAGTGGATTTCACGCGAATGTGCTCACTTTTCGGGCGATATTTCCAAATTCGAGATGACTACCAGAATCTTACCAGTGATGATGTAAGAATAAAAAAGTCGTACGCTCTTTTCCGTAAGCTAACCATTGCCTGCAGTATACCAACCAAAAAGGATTCTGTGAGGATCTTGATGAGGGGAAATATTCCCTGCCCCTGATCCTGGCCCTCACCAAGTCTCCGCGCAAAGGACAAATCAATTCTCTCCTAGTACAGCGGCGTGTAACAGGTTCTTTGGGATATGAGCAAAAATGTTTGATTCTGGAACACATTCGAGGGTCTGGTGCTCTCGAGGCGACTAAGGCCGTCATGGACTCATTAGCCAAAGAGCTCGAGGGAGAGGTGGACAGGCTCGGACAAATTTTTGGGGAAGAAAATCTGGAGCTGAAGTTGATCCAGGAGATGCTCAAGGTTTAATGAACTGACCACGGCCACGTTCACATATGTATAAATAACTGCAAAGCAGTTTGCCATAAGATTTTAGTAGATATAGAATTTTTATAGAATTTCTTCAGGGTCGGGACAGGTAAACTTGGTTTTGATATTGGCCGGTAGGATATTATTTCAGATCTCGATATTGCGTATTTGGGTCGACGCAAACCATTTGATCCTTTATACCTTGTTCAACTACTGACGACCGATTTTAACATCTTCTTCTCAAATTAATCGCAGACGAGGGACAGCATATTCATGCCAAATTCAGATCGGATTGCATCTTTGGTGATTTTTTTTTTTTTTAAAAAAAAAAAAAACAAGTAAAACCCACTTGGGATTGCGTAGAGTCTACTCATGTCTCTTCATTTCACACAAATCGCCCTAACATGAAATCTAAACCTATCCCGGATGCCCTTGACGCCAGCTTGCAATAAAGAGATGTTCAACAAGAATGCTAGGATCCCCTTTTTTGTGTGTGTTATCATGGTGAAGCCAGCCAAAGCTATCCTTGGGTAGAACAAGCACGTCACCTATCAAAGTGGGATGTTCCAACCTATCGAGCTCGTCTCCGTTGTGCTGAATACCAGTCTTCTCGGAGAAGTACTCCATCAGGACTTTGGTGTAAGCGAAGGGGCCCGTAGTAGACATGACCTCTTCAAAAGTTACTTGGGAGCCACCTGGTTTGGACTGGAGGAGGCTCCGCAGATTGTCTACGACTTGATCAACAAGTTTCTGAAAGACTGGATGGTTCGGCTTCGCCAGAATGGTGTACTGGCTGAGCTGAACTGAGTAAGGAGAGCCGGGCCAGATAGGCCGTTTGTGGTGGTCATTCTCAATGCCAACCACTAGATTGACCGATTCCCGGTACTCATCGGGTATCCAATTCGATGTAGGCTGATGCGGGTATACGTCAATGTCCGCCCAGACTCCGCCTTCCACAAGCATCAAAATATATCTTAGTAAGTCGGCCCTTAAGATTGAGTCGTGCAATGAGGTGAAAACATGTGCAATGGCGGGATCCGTCATGTCTCGCACATAGTTGTCCATATTTGCATCAGTTATACGCTCATAACGCCAGTCAGGGTTGACGGCTCTCCATTGATGGGGGTAGCCGATGGTACGTTCGGTAGGATTCTCAGAGTCATCTTTCCAGCTCTGCCAGATCTTTTTTGGGAAGGGTTTGGAGGGAAATTCGACTATAGCGCTAAGGTTTGCAGATGACGGCCGGTGGAAAAGGTTGCCTATCCCAGGGTTAGTTCGCATTGAAAGGTAATTTGACTGGTGAGATGAGTGATTTGACAAACCTGCAAACAAATCTTTGAGCGTGAAATGGCCAACTAGTAACAAAGTGGTGGCGAATAACGCTACTAGAATAAGCCAAGATCTTCTCGTCATGTTGAGATAAATGGGATTTAGACATGAGCATGCTGAATGAGAGGAATGCGGGAGAGCTGACCCTAGTTATAGCTGTAAAGAGGAGGCGGTTGGTCATCACGTTGATCTGTTGGTTGTCTACATAAATGTGTTGGTTGACAAGAAAGCGCTGTGCCTCCATCCAGGACAGGGGGTCAAGGACGCCAATGATGGCCCCATTGTCTATCTAAATCTGGCGAACCTGTCCGGGTTACTGACCATGAACATGAACACGCACGTAGATTAGCGCCTACCTGCTCCTCCGCTAAATGTTCAAGGGACGAGAAGGGAATGGTTCCCCAATTAAGACCTAGAATACGGGCTTAAAGAAACCAGTAACTAAAATTCGTGGATGCAAGAGAAAATGGTCGCAATCAACTCAGAAAAAAGTGGGAGAAGGCAGCTAATAAGCACCCATGGTTGGCTTGAGGTGAGGTGACATTCAACCTTGCAGGTCTGAAACCCCTTGCACCAAAATGATGCACGAACCTTGACTTTATCATGTGTGTTGGACCAACATGCATATCTAACAGCTTAAAAAAAGGGGGGGGACCATGCCTAAGCTGAGTGAATCAGCGCTACGAGGAGAGAATGGAAGTAGTCCACTTAGGTATCATACCATGCTCTTCGATCCTTGCTACTCGGATTTCATTCAACGAGCTCACCCCCTGTTTGCATCATGGTCCATATGTCAACGGTTAATCCTGACTTGGAAGACTCTAATCCGAGGCTTAACTCTTACTTGTACATTGAAAGTATGCCTTTCATCTCATAATAAAATGTTGATTGAAGCGAGATCATATGCTGATTCGAAAGCAAGAAGAAGTAGTATACCTTAGGTTTCAGACTTGTGCTACCAGGTGGTCTAGGGTAGGCGGACATCGTGTGCATACCGTGTGTTAGTAATCCATGTCGACGAAGAAAAAAATGCGCTTGATCTGGTAGGTAACTCGATCAAGTGCCGAATAGAGTCTGTGTACAAACTCATCACAGGGGTCCACCGGCATTGTTGACGGCAGACCAGGGGTGAGCAAGTGCCGCGTCAGACAGCCTGACCGGGACCAGAATACCAGCCGGCTGGCCACTAATAACAGCAATATGGGTGGCACTTTAAGCGTACTTAAAGGGTTCATACTACCTCGGGACCGACTAGTAATAGGAAGCAGCTGGATGAGATGGTGGATGCTTAGGCAGGAATCGGGACCGAGCTAATGTCAAGGCCGATTGGTTGGTTGGTCTAATCAAGGATGTTTAACACTTAAAAAGAAGCTATCATCCTTGTCCTGATCCTAAATCAAGTCTATTCCCAGATGGGGGCGATATGCGACTTTGATTGATGGGATTAAGCTACGGATATACTACTGCAACTTGGCCAAAGGCAGCGCATATTTTTGGTATCATATTATACTATCTACAGAGTGCCCTTATGCAGAGGCTATAGAGAAGACAGTTACAAGGATCGCTGCTTACTCCCCCGAAGCGGCAAGTTAACATTCGCGGGACGAAGCTCAAGCCTCGAGTCAAGTCTTCTGTTTCAGATGTTGTATGTGATCAACCACCGGGCCGTGAGGGTTGAGTGATCTGCCGTGAATCCTGAAGGTATGAGTATTCGGTATATATAGTTCCTCAATAATCATCCGAATCCTGTTCCCAATCACTAATATTCCTTGGTCTATCTCATAAAGCCATTCATTGAGTTGCTCTAATCCAGCTGCCCATAATGATGTTTAATACTGCTGCCGTCATCTTTGTCATTACAACTGTCTCTGCGTCCCAAAATCGGGAGGGATCAAAAGTGTACGTTGTGGCGGACAAGCACCCTAATCCTCTGGATTCAAGTGGTGATACAATCACGTTCACTATCGATGAGTTTCCCGACAACAAAGCTCCATGCTCCTCTTCGGAAGGATGCCAACCCCTTGGAAACGGGTTTGCCGCCTGGGATTTCTCCTTTGACCTGATCGGAGACTCCATGAAGCTTGTCTTGACTCCTTCAAGAGAATCAGGGAGGTAAGAGATCTGTCCTACCAGGATTTGCGTGCTTGAAGTACCTAGCTTACTAACGTAACATTCTTAAGTGAAGAATTTGAAGGGGTCCACGTGGAGGAGTAAAAGTGGGCGGTAATTTAAGCGCTTCTTTGTTAGGTAAATCAACTGGGAGCTAAGTATGGACTCCTTTGGACCCGAAAACCACGGATAGCTCGGCCTAGCCACCCCTTCAAGTGACTAGGAAACCCCTTGCTTGGAGTGCAGTCCTTGTGTTTCCGTTAGCTCGCCAATAGGGCACACATTTGAGCACAAAGAAGTGCTTAATATCTTACTCGATGAACTCATATGGCACCTATTGGATTTGACGCTGCTTGGGAAACTGCATACCAACACACATAGAATCCTGTCTAGCTAGCCCCTTACCTGTAATAATTACCTGTATGTAGCCGTAGTTAGACGCCCTTTGCCTTTCAAGGGACGTACTCGAGTGAAATGGTATCATTATCATCAGTAGAGAATCCTGGTGATCAAATCGACGGGTGTGAGAATTTGAGTAGCTCGACCCATACAGAAAAAAACCGCGATGGGAGATGCCAGAGCCGACCTCTCAACACAACGAATATGGTGGCCAAATCGACATACAATAACAAGTTACGTAAGTCACCATTTTTTTAAATTAAGAATCACAGATAGAACAGTTTTACCTCTTTCTCCCTACCATACAAAGAATCTATATGAAATATCACACACACATGAAAAAATGCGTTTAGTCTTGGAGCAGGCCGACCTTTGTTCTTATATCGAGGACTTCAGCCAAGCCATTCTGGAGAATCTTAGGCTTTCGGATTCTTAAGACTCTGGACCTACTCTGTCTGCTAGCCCCTGTTGAATGTTTACTCTGAATCTCGGGTTTGGAACTGGTGCTGCCTGGTTTTTCCATTACACCCATACCTGCTTAGTTTACCCTTGTCATGAGACGTTCATGACGTGTTCGCCATTTTGTTGCCCCATACGGTTTGTTTGAAGCCTATAGCAGAAATATGCTGAGCGTATCTCAGATGTGGCGCGTTTCTTGATAAAAAGGACAGGTGATTGGCGAAGGCTGGGTAAAGCCCTCCGTAAGACTTATTTGAGGCTCGCCCACACTATGGTGAGCAACAGACAGCGTGAAAATATGGCTCTCAAACAGCACATTTCCTTTTATAAAAGTCGTTATGTCACTAGCAATAGAAAGCATATTCATACCTACTTGAGAAAGAAGTAAACACGAAGATGGCCACCAATACTTGATCCTTTGACGATATTGAAGACGGCTCTCGCCTCCGTCGCGGCAAGCCCTCAACGTACGAAAATAAGAATGGGGAGAAATGGACAAACAATAGCAATTGTATCTGAGAACCTTGGCACTTGATTCCATATCAGTGGATGTTACATGCATCAGGTTCGGCAGTCTTCTCTTGTCCTTTCAACATAATACTTGTCGTTTGACTTGACTCATCCTCAACTCTCTCAATTCTCGGGATCTCAGCAGAGCAAGAATATTTTCTCTTGGATGAAGGCATCACATGCAACTTTCAATCAACAGATTTCGGGGGAAGCGCTAGGCGAAGCGAGGCACCATTGCCGCGGGGATGCGGTGGTTCACACCGACGGCATGTTCCCGGTTTAAATTTCTGCCAATTGCTCTCCATAACAGGGAACGCTGACCTTGGTCCTCTATGTTTACTCCATAACCGGGAAATAGACAGGAAATAGTCTCCTTGCGGGGGATTTACGACGTTGTTATCTTAGGTGTGGCTGCTACCCCACCCCCCTGAGCAAGCTAAAATCCATCGTCCGTCCTTATCATCAACATCCGGATAGAATTGCCCACTATAGGCCGGCGGAAGGTTCGCGTATTGGCTCGGGGCTTTTGAAGCTAAAGTCACGTTTCGATCATCATGAGATAAGACCCCCGGATTCTTGTGAAAGGGAGGCTTGGTACTGATATACAGGCGAACATGCTGCTATCTGGAGATATGACTGTTAATCACACCCCTATAGAACTCAGTTGTGGCTTATCTATTTGTGATCTTGCCATAGACAGGTTGGATGTGGCCTACGTTTGCATGACTTAGCCTTCTGTATCTACTAAACAGCGAGCTGTATTCGAAGTAGACCTATCATGGGCTTTGCAACCATATCCACCGAGTGGCAGACTTGAGCAAACAAGTGATGAATTCAAGAGACACCATTTTTCGCAGCTACAAAACGTAATATCATTCGTATCTGCCTAGTCCGAGACTCTTGCGTTGATGACTCTACTGCTTCACCTCACCATAACTTAAAGATACGTGACAGGTGATATGACTATAAACGTTCGAAGTAGTACATACAATATGGTTTAACATGGTGGTAATTCAAGTTGACCACCAACCCTCCCAACGCCCGAAGTTAGATGGGATTCACTATCTGCTTTGATATGCCCAGACTATCCATCTATCTAGTATCTTAAGGATATTAACATCAATTAAAATCGGAAGACCTGGTATTACCACCATTCGAGTGATAATCCAACTGCTTCTAGATATTTGCCAGTCGATATCAACCTTATTCTTTTGGCCAATTCCGTACTAAATTCAATATAGGCACTACTCAAAGCTATGGTCCTGTTTTGATGGCTTATGCAAGTTCCTTTTCCATCTTATCGTATACTGGTCGAGCATGGAAAACAGTGTCGGCCGTAGTCTTCGCCAAATCTTCATCTGAGTACCATTGCGCTCGTAATTCAACATTTTCGCCACCATACTGCATGAAGAACTCCCTCTGAGAGAAAGGCAAATGCGTGGTCAATGTATAGTTGGGATGCACCGAACTCTGCATAGAATTAGTGACACTCCTAAGTCTATCGACAAGAATAACCGCTTACCTGATATCCCAAACCGAGCATGATGCGGTGTGCGTCGCTGTTGTTAGGCATGCCTGCATGCCAAAGTCTGATGTCTCTGATCATAATGTCTCCTCTGTTGACCACCGGCTGAATTGGTGGGCGTATCTTCATTCTCTCAACCTTCTTTTCTTCCAAAACAGGAGGAATGCGACTCCCGATGTAGGCAGTTGGATAGGGAGCGATATCTTCCGGCGTCTGAGCTAGCATTTGGTCTTTGTAGGTTGTATGCGCATGAGAACCTAGCCAAAACTCAGTAGAGCCATTTTCAACACTGAAGTCACACAGTGGTATGTTGGCGATGAAGTAAAAGGGGAACAAGGGATGGTTGAAGCTTCCATCTTTGTGCACCGGTTGGCGTTGCCCCCCAGTGTTAGCGAGCGCAGTGTTGGCAGTGAGCCAATTAAAGACTGGACGGTGTCCAAGATAACTTGAAATATAATTTTAGTTTATGTAGTTTAGAAAGTTATTATAACTCATCGATCACATACGCGTTTGCTATTTGGAGGAGAAACTGGTTAAAGAATACCTCCTGGTTGAGATATTCAGGATCCGTAATTGGGGGCCTCTGAAGCATATTGGCTTGATGCTAAGTTAGAAATAAAATCAAGGTGATCTTCAATTTTGAATACTCACATTTGACTCCATGGTTATAGCCCTGGGAAGGGTCACTGATCCTCTCATCCGCATCCTGGCACATCTTGGCGTTGAGCTTGTCAATCATCTCCACCGGGATAACACCCTTCAGGACGACTAAACCATCCTGGTGCAGCGCGCCAAGAGCTTTTGATAGAGTTTGGAAGGAATACTTTCCTTCACGGTGCTCATCTTCGGACATTGAGATAGCTTGGGGGCCATTTGATGGAGAAGTCACCGCCATTGTACCGCTGGCAATAGTCCTTGATGGGAGAATCGATGATGTTGGTCTGGATAGCTATGATAAGAAGGTATTCGATTTCACGAAGTTTTATCAGAGACTTTCCATCGGGATTATTTAGTCGGTAGGTTTATATTTACTCATCGGCGTGCCAGTATGCTACCATTACCTGGGGATGGGTGGTGAACTGCGGGGTACGGTCTCCGTGGCTGGAGATAGAAATCCCAGATTGGTATAAGATCAGCCTGGGGTGTTATCTGGGACTTATCTACGCAGGAGACAAGCTCGGTAGGAGAGCTTGGAGAGATAGACTGTTATCTTCATCGAATCTTTATCTAAGCAACGGTGATAGCTGTTCTGTGTGGTTAGAGCTGGCTAGATCATGATATCGACCTCATCCAGGGTCTTGGGCATGGGAACCGATAAGCGACTCCATACCCTCGCCAAGCAAAACCACTACCTACCAAGGGTAAGTTCCGTAGCCGCTGGGTTGGGCGAGATAAGCGGCTAAATTCTCAAGGGGATTGGACAACGCTTCAAGGATCAACAGATATCGTGCAAGCAAATCATAGCCAATCAGATTCCGCCTAATGCACCTGACATCCACTGATATGGAATCAAGTGCCAAGGTTCTTAGATGCACTTGGGATTGTTTGTCTATTTCTCCCTTTTCTTATAATGCTCCCATCCATCCTCAGCTCATCTAGTAAAAAAAGAGGAACCTTGAGGACCCTGTTGTGCTTTTAATCCTTAGACAACAGTCAAATTGCTGTTGGTCTTGAAAACTCGAAGATGACGATTCCGGGATATGACGGGGTTGTTGAGAAGTTAACGTCAGTCAAGAATGCGTTTTCGTCTTGGGATAATTTCAAACATGCGGTTCAGGTCAAAAATACCTTGTCCGAAAATGACACCGCATATCACAATGCAGACCCATTATGGATGAACGAAGGCAAGATATAACTGACACATCCTCGGTTTGGCAATATAACTAATGCTCGATTAAGACTTGGAACCAACACCGTTGGAAAAAAGAAGTAAACACGAAGGTGGTCACCGATGCTTGGTCTTTTTGTTCTAATTAGTTGATTATAGCCTGGAGTTTCTCTACATACTGTATCTTTTGGTTCGGTCTCGCCTTTGGGAACTGGAGTCTAGGTTCGGTATGTTGATTTCTTCTCCCATTTCCTGTTGCTGACCTGGCTAATATCTCTTCGTGTTCCCTGCCCCAGGCTATGATTGGAATTGGTCTCAACTGGTGGCAAGCTATAGTCGTGATCTTCGTGTCCCAAATGATTGCCGCGATTGCCATGGCCTTCAACTCCCGTGCCGCCACCACCTACCATCTCGGCTACCCAGCCATCAGCCGAGTCGTCTTTGGGATGGTAGGTAGTTATTACTTTGTTGGCAGTAGAGCCATTTTAGCTTCAGTCTGGTATGGCATTCAGCGTAAGTAAATCCAAAGCAAACTCTTATGAGGCTCTGATAGATAGCAAATGATAGTGTATTCTGGTGCGAGCCACGTCGCCAACATGCTTCGAGCGATCTTCGGCGACAGCTACAAGAACATGCCAAATCATCTTCCAGCCTCTGCAGGAATTGCCACGAACAAGATGATAGCCTTCTTCATCTTCTGGCTGATTCACCTCGGGTTCTGTTTCTTCCGACCATATCAGCTTACAAAATTCTTTTGGTTCAAAGGCTTTATCATGGTACCCGCAGTCTTTGGAGTTTTCATCTACTGCATGATTGAAACGGGCGGGCAAGTCAACCACACCCTGCCTCAAACTAGCGCTACTACCGGCATGGGATGGTTTATAATCCAAGCAATTAACACCGGGATGGGGTAAGTGAAGTCCGGTCAGAACAGGAACCTTGTCTGACAGCTGTGTTGTTTTAACATTTAGAAATTCTGCTACCCTCATTACGAATCAGCCCGACATTTCGCGATGGAGTAAAACGAAGTCCGCGCCGGGAGTTTCATCCATGGTAAGTTATCATTCTGCCAAACGCCAGGGCGGCGATGCTGATTTAGTACAACAGCTCGTAAAGCCCATTACTTGTACACTTGCTGCGAGCCTAGGAATTCTGGCCACAGCTGCAATCAACGGCAAATGGGGTCTCACATTATGGTAAGGAGTTTGAAACCCTTGTGGAAAAATAATGTCACTAAGTTGCGGTTTAGGAACCCATGGGACCTCCTCGACGCTATTCAGGACCGTCACAATGGTTCAGGCCCCCGGTTTGCCATCTTCCTTGCTGCCTTCACATGGATGGTGGGGATCCTTGGCACTAATATAGCGGCCAACATGATTGCGTTTGGTTCCGACGTGTCACTTATTGCGCCGCGTTACATCGACATGAAACGAGGCTTTTTTCTCGCCCAAGTGTTAGCTTATGCTATCGTGCCGTGGAAGATCATGTCGTCAGCCAAGACATTCACCTCATTCCTATCAGGATATGGTCTTTTTATGGCCAGCGTTGCTGCCATTATGATTGCTGACTGTACGCTCCTACTTGAATCTGGAAGTGAGGGAATCTAACTGACACGCAGCCTAGATTTCATTACCACAAGAGGCAACATCAAGCTAGCCTGGTTATTCGATCCACAGAAGACGAACAAGTACTACCGTTATCACAAAGGCATCAACTTGCAAGCAGTTATTGCATATCTTATTGGAATTGCCCTCCCTCTTCCCGGCTTTCTCTCATCGCTGGGTGTGTCTGGTGTTGGAGTGGCCGGCAAACGTCTCTTCTCTCTTGGCTGGCTTCTGTCATTCTTTGTCTCATTCATTTCTTACCCACTTATTTGCAAGTTCTGGCCAACTGAAAACCAGAAGCTTTTCCGTGAGGAAGGGCTGGCATGGGAAGAGTCTTCCAAGACCACAATTGAAGGTGTGGATATCGGGAACTCTCCAGACGGAATCTTTCCAGAAGTGGAGAAGGTTATCAAAGAGGAGGCTTAATGGTTCAGTCTTTCAAGACATACACGGATATATAGATGCCATTTGTAGCTGCTGGATATAATTTTCGCCCTCAAAGTTGCCGTTGTAGTTCTGGCGAGGCTTAAATAGGACTGGGACGAACAGTATCCAATCCCCCTCTCTTAAACTCAATGAATCAGTCGTATATACAAGGATCGACACGGTTTAACTGATGAATATAATGAATTATGCCTTGAGTCTTATTTTCGTGTTTTCATATCCCCCGTGAATTCAAGTGTTCCGGAACCGGTGATGCGCGAGATCAACAGTTGTAAGAAGCAATCGATCCGGAGCCAAACATCAAATTCCGCCGATGTCGGGTTTAAGTGTCAATTTCAATGCTTATTTAAAATCCGATGATCCATGAAAATCCATAGACCTGCGTGGTTTAAATAGCCGGAAGCTCGGAGGTGAAAGGTGTTTTCTGCTTTGACTTCTTTTCTCGCACTCTGGTGGCATTTCTTTTTGTCTCAGGCCAAGTATATCAGCGTAATCAAGTCACTTTCTCATTTGTATCTTAATAATTCCACTTCGTATCAATTCTCTTCAAAACAGCTCTACTACATCATGGGCCGAACAGGGAGCCCGACTCTCTCACCAAATCGAACCTCAGGTATGGCCACTGAGTACTTGACATTTGGAATTATTCAATAACAAAATCAATAGAGCGCTTGGAGTCCCATGTTGAAGCTGACCCTGTTCACAAGCACATCTCTCCAGCTCGTAAATGGGTTATTGCAGCAATCCTATCCCTAGGAGGCTTCAATTCAAATCTCGCATCACAGATCGTATCACCTGCGATTCCAGAGATAGCCACTGCTTTTCAGACAACTGGAGAAATCGTTAATCTCAACAATGCTTTGTATATCCTATTTATGGGACTTGGTAGCCTGTTCTGGGGACCGATATGCACCATCTACGGCAAGCGATGGGTGAGTGATTTTCGATGTTTAAATCTCCCATAGAATGTATTTGCCATTGACTTCCCGGTCTTAGGTTGCAATAATTGCATCCACCGTGTTCTTAGGATCGGTCATTGGTACGGGGTTTTCCCCAAACCTTGCCGCGTTTTTCATATTTCGTATACTATCAGCGGTGACGGGTACAGCCTTCCAAGTCATTGGGCCTTCCTGCATAAGTGATATATACAGTCCCATGGAGCGTGGAAACATTCTCTCTTGGTTTCTTACAGGGACACTTTTAGCCCCATCTTTAGGACCGTTTATTGGTGGTGTTATCATAACATACACTGATTGGAAAGCCTTATTCTGGTTTCTCGCCGGACTAGTTGGACTCTGCAGCTTGTTGGTCATCATGATCTTACCAGAAACAAGCCAGAAGACATTAATGAAGCATATCAACAATTTGAAAGGAACAGAAAAGCTTATAAAAATTATCCAATTGGGAAACCCCGTGAAAGCCCTCTCGCTTTTTCGCTCACCCAAACTTATCTTGCTGGTACGTCTATATGAACAGAACCTTTTTTGGGGGTTTTAGATATCGCTAGCAAGCTCAACCAAACTATTAGGGATTCGCTACTTCTTCAATAATCTGGAATATGCAATCTCTATTGACGCCTGTACGATACGTTATTAACCCTCGATTCAAACTCACGTCACCCCTTCTATCGGGTTTATTTTATCTGGCATCTGGAGCTGGCTATTTGGCAGGTGCAGTAATTGGAGGATTTTACACGGATCGAGTCGTGAGGTCTTGGGCACGAAAGAGGGGCAGAATAGTGCCCGAAGACCGTCTACGGGGTTCCTTCGTAGCCATGGGTATCGGGATTCCGGCCAGCATCGCTATTTATGGTTGGTGCATTGATCAAGCGAAGGGAGGGATCCCTGTGCCCGTGATATGCATGTTCGCGCAAGGATTGGCACAGCTCGTGTGTTTACCTTGTCTCAATATCTATTGCCTTGAGGTCATTGAGGGGAAAGGCAACGATGTTATGGGTACGTGCAGCAACAATTGAGAATCGTCCTCGCCTTCGCTAACCAGAAACTTCAAGCTGGAAATCTTTTTGTTCGATACTCCGTCGCAGCCGTTGGAACAGCCCTCTGCCTACCTGGTATCAACGCAATGGGGGTCGGTTGGTGGAGTACTATTAGTGCGATCTTTGTCGCTGCCTCGAGCTTTGGGATATTCTGCATCCTGTACTTCGACCTACAGTAGATGCTTTTGCCCTGAAATATGATGCCTTTTAGGCAACGACACATGGAGGGTTATCTCTCGACGGGGGTTGTTGTTACTTGGGGATGGAGCAAATAATTCTACCTAGAGACAATACGTAGAGCACAAACAAGGAAAGAGAAACAATGAGTTCATTATTGGGCATACGTACAGTTAAAAAGTGTTTGCCTAAATGGCCACTACCCGGATCCACGTCAGCCTGCTGTGCCCTGTAATAAATTGGGTATTTTACTCTCCCCCTTGCAAGTCCGGATCAACATCTGTATAATCATCTTTGCAATTTACATTCTTTAATTCCACAGATATGCCTAGCACCCATCTTTTAGATGTCCCTGGGGAGATTTTGGTGGCTATCCTTTCAAGGTGCATTTTAGCCTTGTGCGGTGATAGGCGTGATGGCCTCTTCTTTCAACTGCCTAATTATGGAGAAATGTTCAGGTTGAGGTTGGTTTGCAGTAAGCCCTACCCTTCAAGAAGTCAGCTCTTCGACGCCTTTTACTAATCGTCCTCCTTTTCCTTTTCTTTCAGGAACTTTTAACCATGTCTTTCGGGATGCGTTAATTCAGACCCAAGTGCTTAATCACTTAGCTCCTCTGCCAGAGGATCCCCCCTACAATAAAATACAACCTTTAGCGTACTGGCAGACGAGAACAGACGATGGTGTCCAAAAACTTTGGCATTCATACATTGCGCACATGGTGCAGAAAGGGGTCAACCCTAGCGTCAGTTATTTGCCGAACGCCCCAGAGATCTCGTGGTGCGCCGAGATCCGTGAAATATCACAGTTGGTATGCGACAGAGTGCCGCACTCCGACTTGCCCAATACCATCGAGGCCCTCTGCTGGCTTGGTTTCGGAGGTGAGTTGGGCGGGCTGGGTCATCTCTGGTATATCAACTCCCGTGCAGCCCAGCTGCCAGTGGAACTCCAAGGAGAATTTAGGCGGAATGGCAATCTCCTCAGCGCCGCAGCCTATTTGAACCATCTGCCTTTAGCTAGAGAGCTTTTAGCAGAACATGTCGATCCGACACTTAACGACTTTCTTTTCCCTGCTCCGATAGAGGCAGCTGCAAGGGGAGGAAATGTCGAAATGCTCCAGCTATTCCAGGAAACTCTATCAGAGCCAGATCCAGAGCCAGAGCCAGAGCCAGAGCAAGAAAATCCACTGGAGCAAGAGGATGTTAACGAACAGTCTCTGATGGAGATTGAGATTTTGAATCCAATGCGGCAAGGGGATATTAACGAAGAGACTCTGCTGGAGATGTTGAACCCGCAGGCTCTACCAAATTTCTTGGAAGTGGAAGCGGTTCCGGAACCAACTTTACACAGCACGATGGGAAATGTTCCCCTCACAGGGAAGGCTGATCCTCGAGCAGTTGTTGGAGCGGCAGCAGCGGGCGACTTACAGGTCCTTGAGGTGGCATTATACCCTCCATCGCGAAGTGACACTAACAGCTCCGACTATTTTGGTCAGCCGTATGGAAGAGTCGATCCATACTCCCCTCCAGGCCACGCGCTCAAATCCATAATGGTGCACTCAAAAACGTGGGAAGTATACTTCAGGCTGGCATCTTTCTTCCACGACTTTTACGTCTCCCAACCGGCAGAGGCTGCCTTTCATCTGCAGATGTTTGTTGAATTTGGCAACTACGAAATAGTGAAGAACTTACTCGAAAGAGGCGTTTCTTGCCGGGGAGGCCACAGGAGATACGCTTCTTCTATACATGCAGCTGCGCGCCAAGGTCGAGAAGATATGGTAGATCTACTGATAAAGCATGGTGCTGATGTCAATCAATCAGGTCTTGCTCTGTTCGGGTCGCCTCTTCATCAGGCAGTGGAGAGCCGAAGTATCAAGATGGTCAAGAAATTTCTAGACATGGGGGCCGTTTGTGAGTTCAATACTTTGCAGGAGGCGCTCTTCTGTGGAGGCCCTAAGATGGGTGAATTGGTTCTGGCTCATTGCCCTCTCAAAAATCTGCTTTACGAACATATTTGGAAGCTTCTAGTTCAAGCTAAGGAAGGAAACTATGCCTTCGTGATCAGTTTATTGACTGAGAAGTTCCCCGGCCTTAAGGATTTAGATTACCCCACCGATTTGACAAGCAAGAAATGGTCGGATATAGTTAAATCAGCCTCGGGCGGCTTGCCAAAGACTCGCAAATGGTGGTTTTTTTAGTTGCAATACACAATACGGTCTGGGTTGTGTTTAGGAAAGATCGCAGATATTTGACCAACAAGGGTTTGATTATTTTGTAATTAGTGCCCAAATATCTTATCCCAATAAGCGGATTTAATCTTACGCCCCTTTTATCTTCAGGCTGGCTAAATTCCTATGGCATACTCTGTTATTAAATGAAAGCCTAGGATAATGGAGCAAAGATGTGAAACTTTCCATCTATTGTTGCCGCGATTCTAGGCTTTCTCAAGCTCTACATTCGCCCTTTCTAACCAAATCAAAAGAAAAAGTATGGGGCGGAAGTATGATTAACTAAATAACGTCCGGTTCAGCAGTTTGTCAGCTCATGGTTATTTGTTGCTGCCAAGAAAAGAATCGAAGATCTCACAAGCTAGCCTTCTAGACCAAAGGGGAAATCCCTTGATGTAAGGGGAATCCTAATGTATATATCCTGTGACAAAAGAGAAACAGAAACCAGTCTGTCAGGTTAACAGCCTCAAGACACACCAGTCTTAGTGCCCGCTGGTGTTAAACGCCCCATCACTAGCTAAGCCTTTATTGGCAAAGACCCCGTGAACCCATTCGCAACAGCCGAAGCTCGGCGATGACCACTTGGTCCATGCTTCGATGGGAGATGATCCATAAGTCGATCCAGGAGTTCGCGCTTGAATATAGAGTTTTACTCTCTTCATGGATGATAATGTGTTGCTTTGGAGCTACATGACTACAAACAATAAGTAATGAAGTACAATGGAGCATGTTGCGAGGGTGACCATCTCAATGGATAAGATCTTGGACGAATGGGCCCCTGTAATAAGGTCGGATCAAAGCCGGTTGTATCCCGGAAACGGATAACACTTAAGTGTTTAAAACCCGGCTAAGGCGGTGGTGAGAGAAGCGCATGAATGGCGTGATAGATAATACCAACTCTAGTTACTCTCTTAGAGCCCTACCATTAATAGCTGAAGGATTTGAATGATGACAGCTCACGAGAAGCAAAGCTCTTCACTACAGTAGCTGAACTTATTCGTCCCTCAATAGCTCTCGTTTGATTTGAATGTAGTGTCTGGAGAATTCGATGGCTTTTCGCGTTATTGAGACATATCTGCTCCAACCCCTTTACACATCCTGATCCTGGCCCCTTGTGTAGATAGTGATAATTGGGTCTTTTCGGACCGATATAGCAAAATAAGGTGAAGGGATTGTTGCGGAGCTTTCATCCAAACGGTAAGATGGTAAATTGCGTGATGAACCAAGTTCGCAATAACTTCGGATCTTGTTCCTCGCAACCCTGCAAATGTCACCATGAAGATGGCTCAGAGCCCACTCTAAGATATCTGAATGAGTTGATGTAATTTTGTTGGCTTCGTACGCCATTAAAACGGGAACAGCCGTGATGATATATATCCACTGGGGGGTCACTTTGTGTAATTATATAAGAGCAGTACAATACGCTCAATCAAGGTAAATCAGCAGACCATCAGCATTTCGCCTCCGTTTTGAATCATAATGGCTAGTCCATCAGGCTCTCAGTCATCGACCCTCGGTGAGAAGATTCATAATGTGTTCCGTGGGACATACTTTCAGGCGGTCCTCCTTGGACTCATTAGCTTCACCCAACCAGGAATATGGAGTGCCATGAACAGTCAGTGATCATCTAAAACCGCTCATGGTATCGAAACTGATCATTTTAGGCTTGGGTGCCGGTGGGCAAGCCGAGCCTTATGCTGTCAACGCGGCAAATGTGATTACGTTTGTGTAAGGCCCCCTGTTTTAGCTTCCGGGATCTAATGTCCTCTTTGATTCCTGCCAAAGGAACATTATAGGGTTGTATTTGTGGCCGAAGGGAAACTTTTCTAATCTGAGAGGCAGAATCATGGTGGTACTGGCGCCCTTTGCCAGTGTTATTGGAAACTTGATCGGAATGAAGTGGATTGTGGTGTTTGGATGCATCGGATACGTCTTTTATTCCGCATCCCTATACGTGAACTCTGTGTACGGAACGCAATGGTTTCTTCTTCTAGGGGCAGCGCTCTGTGGGTTATCGGTATGTCGTTCATTATCGTGTTTGTCCAAAGTGCCTGAATTAACATTCTCAGGCTACCGCTTTATGGCCTGGAGAAGCCGCAATTGCTGTCGGTTATCCTGAAGTTAGAAAGAGAGGCAGATGCGGTAGGTGAAGTGTCAATCTGGTTGATCCCATGATATACTTTATATTTACTTCCATGCTGACTTTCCAATTGTTTCTTCTAGTGGCTATATGGATGGCTATTGGCAAACTCGGATCCATCATTGCAGCATCGATTCAACTAAGCCTAAATAGCGACAAGGATAAGACGGGGTCTATTTCTCCCAAAACCTACATCGTTCTCATTGCCATCCAGTGCCTTGGTCTCCCTCTGGCTCTCCTTTTGTCACCACCCGACAAGCTAGTTCGTGACGATGGCCGAAAACCGACTTTTGCGAACCAGAACAGAACATTCAAGAACCAGCTCATTGGGTTTTTACAGCAGTTCAAGAGAAAGGAAATCGTTCTTTTCATTCCAGCATATATCACGGCTCAATGGGGTATTACTTACCAAGGCAACTACATGGCGGCCTACTTCACGGTGCGGGCTCGAACACTTGCAGGACTTATTACCGCACTTGTCGGGGTCGTCGTCAACATTATCGGAGGTTGGTGGCTAGATACCAGAAAGCTCCGTCGGTCTACCCAAGCCAGGAGCTTCTGGTACGGGACACTAGCTCTGTACACTCTCGTTTGGATCTGGAATATTGTGATACAAGAGCGATGGGCCAAGAATAGCCCGGGAGAGATCGATTGGTCTGGTGACAAGTGGAACCAGGGAGTGGCAATCTTCACCCTCTACAGGTATTTGCATTTTTCCCATGTTAAAACTTCCAGGGCTGTTTGAGGCAGTATGGCTGACTATTCTGTATTAGGGTCGCCTATGAAGCTATCGGTATGTGGCTCTATTGGGCTTTAGGCACACATGATTATGATATGGACACCGTATCTCTATCCATGGCAGTCCTTCGGGGCGGAGAGGCTCTCGGATCTGCTATCGGATATGGTATTGGATCTATCCGAAGCGCAAGTTTGATGACCAACTTGATCGTTTCAGTTGTCTTGTTCTACGTTGGAGCTCCGTTCACCACATGGGCCGCTCATTTGATCAAGGACAGAATCACTGGGGAGGAAAGCGATTCAACCGACGATGAAAACAGAGAATCTAGTAGCTCGGTGGTTGAACAACAAACCCAGGTCATTGATACGAAGAAATAACTCTCTAAGTTCTTTCTCGAATTATGTTTTGTTTTATCCCTGTCGTTGAGATCAGAAGGGAAAAATAGCCTTTATCTTCATATAATTATAGAATGAAGATCTACTTCTTCTCTTCGTCTCTTCTTCCCCAATAGAAGATAACTCAAAGTGAGAGAACAATTGGCTATGGGGGGAGAAAAAAAAAATTCTCCGAAACCTGAGTTGAGAACTACAGAGTTGTTAATCCTCCAACTCGTACCGTGGTTCAATAACGAGGGGCCAAATTAGGTATACTGCTTCCTATCGACTGCAAATTGAGCAAAATTCATGTTTTACATTTCAAGCCTATTGAATATATCAATCAGTCGTAAGCCTCCGCTCCCTAGATTTCCATCTCAGACGCCAGTTCAGATCTACGAACGCGGCGGCTCCTGCAAGGTCTACGGGAAGGTGTTGGTGTCGGTGCAGAGGCAAGATCTGTCGGCGTCGAGGTCTTGGAGTTCGAATCAGACACTGGGCTCTCTGCGGATGAGAGAGGCGTCGTTACAGTCGAGAGGGTGGTGGGTGTAACGGCTGGTGTAGTGATAGATGAATCTGGCGTCATTACTGTTGGAGTAACAGCATCTGTACCCGGAGTCGAGGAGCTGGGGGTGGTTGATGAGTCTGCAGGAGTTGTTGATGCCAGCTGATCAGAAGTTGAAGAGGCCACAGGAGTCGGAGTAGAAAATAGCGAGTCTGTCGAAGGAGTCGATGCTGGCGTGGACGGGGTGGGGATGTCAGTCGTTGACGACACGGGGCATGGGGCTACAATTCTGGCGTTGTCGAAATAGAGAGTGCCTGCCCCGTTCATGGACCCTCCCGCTGGCGCCATGCAGTAAGCATTAATGCCAATGAATACACCGCTTGGGTACGGCAGTCGCATTCCAGAAGTCCTAAACGTGCTCCATCCATTGTCATTGCCATCTACGGTGAATGGCAAAGGACCGCTTTGATAGACTAAGCCTTGAGGAAAAGACAGGTAGAAAGAGAGGTAACATGTGAATCCGGTCGCGGCGCTGGGGTTCACAATAACTTTATAGTCGATACTGATGTCGTATAGTTGGGTGGCGTCCAGTCCGTACACTGTTTGTCCGAAATTGTTGGCCGATGAACTTGTGAGTCTGTATGTAGCTATCAGTATGTATGTAATTGCAAGCTATCCAAAGAGTTGTACCAACATTGACATGGACTTTGCTCCATCACTGTGCTGGTCGGTGGACTCTCCGGGAGTGAAATACAGGTAAGTCCATCCGGGAACTGCTGTGACTCCATTCTCAAACGATGGGTTCGCGAATAGGTTCTGTCCACAACTTGCTGGTAAAGGTGTGATAGCAGCTGCCGGAAAAACCGAGATGGCAGCCAGAAGAATTGACTGAGTGAGCGGTAGACACCTCATTTTGCCTGCTTGTGTAGTCCAAAGTGATGTAAAATAAACGATCAATCCGTGGAAGACAAGAGAGAAAAGTAAAGGCACTGTTCAAGTAAGAAAGAGTAACTGGTGCAAAAGAATGACTACTTCCAATACGACGGCTAGTTTGAGGCCGGGAAACGAGTGTATAGTTGATGAAGTGAGGATGGAGGGATGGATGCACGCAACGAGCACAGGGATAGGGAGATAAAGTACAAAGCAATTTTACCCTGTTTGTCAGCCGGCCTTACGCTATCAGAAGACATGACACTCCTTAGAGGTGGCCATCCCGTCTTCCATCATGGCATGATGGGCTAGCTGCTTCAATCTTGATTTCGCGCTATCGCTTGAAAGAACCAGGGGCCTAGCCGGCGTTCTCCAAGCTCTAGTATGAGAGGCAAATCATCGCTGTAATCCGATAAAGCATGCCGCCAGTATTGCTTTCATCTCGATTATAGCCAGCTCTCACTATGTGATTCTCATGGCAACAAGGATGTTAGTTCGTTGAGGAAGCAGCGCAACTCCTCGCTCGCACGAACACTGAAGTCCTCCCGTTTCAGGCGTGAGATGATCCAACTCACTCCGAATCGAACCCATGAATTGGAAGCCAATCATAATTAATGTACCCCTGACTCGGCTCTGGTTTGCCGCTCGCAATGAACTAACGTCGATTTAGTGGGTGATGGTGGCTCAGTTATGATCAATAGTGAGAACAAGCGTTGAAATGTCGAGACACTAAAATTCGGGGCGGAGAAATGATGATATGCTGTACGGCCAGAGCAAGAGCAGGAATTGAAAACCCTGGACGTCCGTGGAGAGAGAACGACAAAAATCGAATTGAGAGCTTGGTAAAGATGAGACACCGGCCCTCATGATAGAAGTTCCAGACCCTACTATTTTTTGTTTCGTCGCAGTTTTTGGCTCCCAATAACGATGTTACCGATGGATTTTCCCCAGTCCTTGTTGAGTTTCAAGTCTTTGGCTTAGATCTCAGGCATACTCTGACAATACTCAAGCTCATATCCTGTGAAGCCTAGTATTGGCGAGCGCAGTCTCGATATATCCAATCACACCCCGAGTTGGATTATTGGGCCTCAATTAAACATCAATGAGGTAAGACTCTCGGGAGGAATAGGTCCAATTCAGTCCCCCAGCTTTAAGGTCATACTTAGAGCTAGGTGCTTAGAGCTAGGTGCCATGGAGATTGACAGGAATCAATTATATCTAACGAGGATCCGTTCAAACGACAAAATGAAGGATGTTATGTCGTTGGAGACTAGAAAGAAATCTGTCAAATCGAATAGAAGTAGATGAGCCTATGTTGGAAATAACAGATGAAGGAACAGGCTGGAAAAGGTTAGAGGAGACTGAGGCACTATGATTTCGAGCCTCTACAATGGCCTACTAATGGAGCCGGTGAACGTAACAGCGGAGCCTGGATCTCAATACAGAAACTCTAGCCACTCCCGATATAGGAACACTCGCTTTACTTTGCTTACCTTTCGAGGGGAGTTACTATAGCCGTACTAATATGGTATTTTCGTAGTTGCGGAAGGTAGCGGAGAATATAACTGCCAAGCATTCACTGAACCCTATCGGCATTTGAGGCCATGGCCTGGGACAAATGAGCCAAGAGGTGCGCGCGGAAAGTGAGACCTGCCTGTCGAGTCAAAAGTCCCTGTGATGGAAAAAGAAACTACATCTGACGCTAGCTCGACCAGGAAGCTGAGCTTCAACAAGCCGCGCGCTTTGGAAAGTCAACCAGGTTCAGAACTCTTTATATTCAGGTCAGGTATTTAGCCAAACCGTGCGTATCGGTAGATTCTCTTTATAGAAAGCCAAGACCGCTCTTTTCAGAAAAATCCTCAAGTTCACATGAACGGGGTGAAGGGACCTACTAGATATGGGCATGGATCAACAACTCTACAATGAAACATGTGTGATATCGGCTTTGTCGGCAACGCCTTCATGCAGAGGGAACCTAAAGATTAATTTTGCACACGGCAAGGATATGGGTTGAAGAAAGAACGTTTGCCAGAATTTACAAACTATTGTTAAGCTCCGATGATTAGAACATCCTGATGTTGGAAGGTCACTGGTTGAGGCACCTCGCTATTGCAATTAGTGTAACTGGAAGACTCGTGGCTAGACCCTAAGGTTACACGCACAAGGCCTGGCTATATAAGCCCGACCAGCTGACCCAATTAGCTTAGCTACTTTTTAGACAAGACATCGATTTCAATATTCTTGACTTGTGCCGAACAGACAGACATCAAATCTGCTTCATCAACCAACCAACACTCTAAAACTAAACAAATCCCATTCAACGGTCATTACAAGCACGCCATGCTGTTCTCCAACGTTTTCGTCTTGGCAGCTGCCATTTTCTCGACTTCGACGATTGCCTGCAAGTGCCGGCGTTACGATAAATGGGTCCCTATCCCTGAATTCACCAAGGAATGTTGCGAGATCGCTGGCGGCAACCTTGTCGGGGCTGACTGCGCCATCGACTCTCTGCAGAATAACAATCTTTTCAACTTTCGACTTTGCTGCGCCTCTAGGATCGCCCGCCCTGATTGCTAAGAAAGGCCCTTTAGTCCAGGCGCTGAGGGTTAACAGGGCTTGGTAGAGCGACGATGTAGGAGCTGACGGGCAAAGAATTTGAGAGAGGAAAAGTTGGCCTGCTCAAGTTAAAAATAAGTATCAAGCATGATATTCAGCATCCAAATCCCAGAACTATCTACAACGGTGTCCACAAAAGATTCCTAGCTTGCTTCTAAGGTACCTTCAAAGGCGTAGTGTCCTAGTGGGGTGAAGAACGGTGTTGATATTCCCTTGGCTTTTAAGCCACAATTGACAAGCTGCAATATACGAGGACGGGTGAAGACTCCGAAATAAAGCTTTGGTTTTTCCAGAATTCATCAACCACTTGTAGTATGTCTGTATTATTTTCAAGGTTCCAGCTCGGTAGTGTCGTTGAAGCTTCCCTAGCTCCCTAGTTTCATGGACCACACTCATCCTTTTAGATAATAGTGATTCTTTCATTTCCCTCTCATGATTGGGCTTCACTATATCAAATCCAAAACCTCGCATCCAAAGTTGATGAACATATCATCGCTGTAGAGAGGCATTCTCTCCGATGAAAGCGAGCGGCCAGGCTTCTCCAGTATTCCCGCCGAAGCTTGTGCTTGTGGCCGCGGTTGTGATTCTCGTAAATGATCATATACACGGTTAGGAAACGCCACATGAGTGTCAGACATCCTTCTCACGTAGGCTCCACTCCATCTGTTTGAGTATTTGCTGCAATTTTAGTTGTTTTGGTTTCGTATGCCGAAGGTCTTTGTCCTACATTGGCCGTTCTTCAACTGTATTTCTGAATTTCTGACAAAGATAGACAAATATCAAGGTGCTGGTTGAAGGATGCGTTGTCTGGTGGCTGGTGCTGATCGCAAATCGGGCATCGGACCATCTCACTTGTGCACCAAGATGTTTCTAAGGGATTTATCTCGGGGCTCTTTATAGCAGGATTCGATATCTTCTTCCGCGGCGACAATTCTCGGCTTTCAAGATCATCTCCCAGCTTTCGCTTTCCAGTCGGACTTGACCGCTCTTCTTCCTTAGCCCCCGACAAGGAGTCTGGTTTAGGATAAGCACTTTTATGCGCCATGCGCTCAAAGGCTGCGCTGAGAGTGTAGTCCTTGCTCACAAGCTGTGTCAACCTCACACCAAGCAATCGGCAGGCCTGGTGAGGTTTGTCAGCCAAAGTTGCCTTGACAAATGGAAGAGAGTGCTGGAAGATATCGCGGGCGCTACTGATTGCCTTCGGTAACTTCGTTTGCTTCGAATACGACTCGAAATCGTTCATTTTGACCTTTACTGTCAGAGTCTGCCCGGCACGATTGAGCTCCTTTAGCTTGGCTTCGACGTCCTCACAAACCATCCGCAAGTTTCTTTCAATTATGTCGGGGGCTGAGGTTTCTTTGAATGTGCGCTCTATGCTGGCACTCTTTTTCTGCTGTTCCAGAGTCGCTTGAAGTTCTGTTCTTCCGCATCCTAAGTACACTTCAAGCAGAAATTCAAATAACCGGTCCCCAAACAGGACCCTCAAGAATTGTCGCTGTGAGAAAATGTCTTCGCATGTGGCAATGCCTATGCTACCGAGTTGGCGATCCAGAGTGTATCCAACCCCTGTCACCTTCCTCACGGGTAGATCTTTGATGAAGGCCATAATAATATCCGGTTCGCTGGGTAACTGGTACTGGCCGTCTGGTTTGATGAACGTGGAACTGATTTTTGCGAGTTGGATGTTGGCTGCGATGCCTGCAGCAACTGCGATACCCGTCTCGTGCCTAATATCCTTACGCAAAGTCTGGACCACATCCCACGGTTTGATGTCACATTCAGTGCAGTACTTGGTGATGTTGAGATAAGCCTCATCTGTGCCGCAGATTTCATACCCAGGATCGTACTTGTGCATTGCGTTACAGATTTGCGCCATCACCTCCCTGTATCTATCATGGTTGGGCTTGACAATTGTGAGATTGGGGCACATTTTCTTGGCGACCGCGATTACCATTCCAGCTCGGCATCCGGTCTTCCTAGCGATGTAATTGCAAGCCGCAACAACGGTGTCCCCAACGGCAAAGGGCACGTCTTTCAGTTCAGGGCGATCATTCTGCTCGACTGAGGCATAGAACGCGTCGCAATCAATATGGACGATGGACTGCGAAAGATCTCGATTCTCCTTGAGGCGAGCGACAACTTTATCAGCATGAACGAGTTGCGACGTAGTATCTGATTCTTCCAGGAGCCGTTTCCTCTCCATCAGCGCGTTGCACTTTTCGGTTAACGCCTGATCTCTCTTTTGTTGGTGATTGAAATACAGCGAGACTTTAGCGGCCTCGTAAACAGTTCGGGCGATCTGACAGCAGTTGTTCAGTGATTGACACGCATGGATTGAAGTGTTGTTGACCTTGTGTGACTAACCT